AAAGTATAGGAAATGATAAAATCCTTTCTAGAACAGACCAAAGATCTACCTAGGTGTCCAAAACATAAGGGTCCATTAGATGTCTTAGTAAAGTCCAATCATGGAACAAAGGCAGTAATCTTTCCCCTGCTTCCCCCAACAGAGCAATTAAAGCTAACCCAACCTCTGTGAATAGACATAACTGATTTTATATACATCTTGCTACTGCATCATGTAACAGTGAATTTTTAACATAGCATGTAGTTTGGAAGGAAATCCCATTGAATACAACAGAATAACAGAGTAATGGAGTAGGAATGGTCCTTGGAGATCTTCTATTCCAACCCCCCTGCTGAAGTAGGGAACCCTATACCATTTTAGACAGATAGTTGTCCTTCTGAAAAACTTCCTTGTTGGAGCACCCATGATTTCTAGAGGCAAGACATTCTACTAATTAATTGTTCTGTCAAGAAATTTCTCCTTAGTTATTAGTTAATATAAGAAGAGCTATTGCAGTATGATATTCAAATGCTGGAGTAGAACGTAGGTTCTCAGAACAAGACTCAGGTTCTGGTCCTCCTTTATACACTGAAGCCATCTAAGTGCCTTTCCCCTCTCGCTCATCTTGGGGGAATAAAAAATGTTGTCTTCATTGGATCAGCCTGAAAGATTATGGTCTCTAACTTAAAGCAACCCATCCCTATCTTCTAAAGGTTAGGGCATCAAGCCTAATCATCCCAGGCAAACCAGGCCATGCTGAGGGGGCAGGGGGAAGGCTGTTAGGAAAAAGTAATGTATTAGGATGCATGATATGCACTTATTCTTTTATTTATCTTGAACATCTTGTTCATGGATGTCATAGGGAAATTTCAAAGTCTACCCTGTGGAAGAAGACAAAATCAGTTCCTAGCTATTTTCTCCACATTGAAAACAAAATTACCTCCTATCTTATCACCTAAAGAATAATAGTAATAATAATGATAATAATGATAATAATATCACTATTTCCCCTCACTTGCTTTGCTTTGAATGTCTTTTCTTTCATTTTCTGCCATATCCTTTTTGAGGTTGGGTGATCAGAATAAGCACAGATAATCAAAGTACAGCTCCAATTAGTTTGATATAAAGATCTATTATTCAACTGTACTTTAGGTTTCTTTCTTTTTAATTTCTAGACTTGTTTCTTTCATTATAACCATATGCTCCATAATTCCTAGATTTCTGTCTTGGGTAGAGAAAAGGATAGAAAAAAAATCTATTGCTCTGTGATTAGAACCACTTTTTCTTTTCTTTCTTTTCATTGCAGTTCCTCTCCATAGTTTTTAGTAGAGAAGCAGAAAATTATTAATATAGTTTTTGTGACTCATTGTGTTTCTTCCCTTACAGATAATAATTTGAGTGGGCTACTATGGAATGTAGGAATAAGGTTTAGTTCTTTTTTTCTTTGATCTCATCTCTACCAAATTTCAATCCAAATTTTATCTCTATTATCTTTAAGGTAATAGTGATTATTTCATGTACCCAATTTAAATTAATATCTAGTTTAGACCAATAAGCATCCAATCAAATACTAACCTTAGGCATATTGAGAGAGACATGGGGGGGGGGAGAAAACTTTTATAGTGCCATTAAACAGCACAGATCACATTGATATGATTTTTATTGGTTGCACTGCAAAATCTGCAGTTTTGCAAATCTCTTATATTTATCTAAGTAACCAGTTGCTGAAAGAAGAATAACACAATATGGTACTATATGCAAACGATGTTTGATACTGAGGTTAGAAATTTACTCAATGCTGAAAGATCTGAACATCTATACAGTCACCTTTTTGTTTTCTGAAGTAAATACTGTACCCATGTAGATATTCCCCTCCTAATATAAAACTTAGAATCTGGGATGATTTGAAAATGAGAGTTGAGAATCTCACGGAGTTGCATGCTTTTCTTTGGCATTTAAACCAAGCTATGATCATAGACAGAATAATTGTAATCCCCTTGTGCAGATGTCTTTTCATAAGGTATATTGACACCCACTCCTATCTCAGCTGTAAATTGTAAGTCTGCTGCTATTAGAAAATAACATATGAAATTGACCTTCACGTTGACGGGGTCAAATATGCTAATGAATGAATCAGAGAATGCCGGATGTGTAAAAATTACTATCTGTTCTATTTTCCATTTCCCACATATAATAACCACTTTCTTAGAATTCACTGGGATAAATAAATGAAATAGCATTTGAGGGAGAATCTGTATATTTTACAGCAATAATGAACTGTTTTTCAGAAAAAGCACAGGAGAACTTTTAATGGCGTACCAGGAGAAAAATGAATTGGACTTTAGGTAATTACATCTAGTTAATTCATTTACATTTAAAATAGTTTCCTCCTGCTGACACTATATATAAAATATACAGATTGATGATAATTTTTGAAAGGACTTTAGAGTATCAGAAATCTTAAGCTCTGCACCTTTGCTTTATGATTAATACAATCAAATTTCTTTATTCTTGGTAAAACTTGTTTAAATCAACACTCTGTGTGCTATGCAAAGAAAAGCTTTCCTGAGAAAAATTATGCTACAAATCCATAGGATTTAAAATTTTGAATCTATAGAATCATTGATACTTGGAGATATTTCAATATATATTCTTATGGATTCCATGAGGTCTGTTTGGAAAAATTTGTAAAAAAATACATTTATCATCAAGGATTACACAATTCACATCAAGACATACAATCCTATTACAGTGAAAGGAATCCATCATTTCATGATACTTAAGAATCCGTTAAATAACACTTATTGTCTGAGCTATTACTCAGATAATCCAATGGTCAAACATTGCCTAAAGAAAATTAATACACAAAACATATTGAGCCCAAGTATGAATTTACTTGCATTATTTTGGTTTTCCAGATAAACAGGCTTCATGAGACCCAGATATGGAATGATTTCATTGCCAAAAGTATTTGATCTTTCAAGTATCAGACAAAAACGGAGTGATCATTCAGCATGAAGTTCCATCGTGTCAGACACAGCCCATTATAAGATGAAAGTGCTAGTTGGGAAATCCCAAAGTGCACACATACCTTTGTCACAAGTTGAAGGACCAATGCATCTCCTGGGAACTATAGGAACAAAGAAGCATGAACTTTGTTCTGCCTTTGACTCATATCCAAAGCTAATAATGATGACAAGCTATTTTGAACTCTATATGGGTTGATTGAAGTGATACGTGGATTTTGAAGGTCTAATGTAAATCACTTATCAGAAATATGGTCAAGAGGCTACTTTTCTGGGTCATTTCCATGTTTTGGAGGTAGATTGTTATTGTCCATAAAATTACAAATAGGCTGCCATTTATAACAAGGTCCTCTTGAGACCCTTTCAGAGGAGTTCTTGAAAAGGGAATTTTTATAATAATGTTGTTGTTTTTTTGCCTAGAGTTAATCTTGTTGATTAACAAGATACCTTCCTTAGAAGGATTTTATATTGACATCTAGAGAAGAAATGGCAAATTGGAAATGGCTCTAATAAAGAGGAGCCTACAACTGCGATGGAATGAAGAGCCAATTAATTAATGACTCTTTGTAATTGTTCTCTGGGTAAGAAGAGGATTTGTGATGACCTATAAGTGCTACATACAAGGAGGTATCAAGATAGCAGTTTCTGATGAGCTATAGGACATGAAGGAATAGCTATCTTTTTGTTGAAACCATGATTGGCACTTTTAAAAGGACACTAGGTTTGCATACCTCCTGTTCTAATTGTTTTTGGAAATTGCTTGTTAATTGTGTTTCAGATATTAGTAACTTTTTGATCAACAAGTTTTATAGCACCAGTTGATTTTCCTTCAATTCTTAAAAAAAAATCTTTTAAAAATATTTTAGAATAAACAACTAAATAGTGATTAGAATTCTGATTTTGGAAAGTTACAAAGGAACTAAGGACCAAAGTAGATTTGAATTAATATTTTGGAATTAATTATAAGAATGCTTTTCTGGAAAAAAATGTTTTTGTTTTGAATTCTCTTTTTTAAAAAATGATAGGATGAGACTTTGACTTTGAACTACCGGTATAAGGGACCTGAAGGAAGTAAAATCAACAATTAAATGAGAAGAACAGTTAAATTTGACTTACTAATACAGAAGCTAGCAAAATGTTTTAAAATTGGACACATTGAAAGATATTTGTGAACAATGGATCCAGAAGTGAACTATAAATGTGTCTGTCATTGCAGATAGACAGACTGCCAGAATGATATGCAAAAATATTTTATATTGGACATACAAATGAAATTGGCTGATGTCTTAATAATTAAAAAAGCATATAAACAATAATGAAAAAAGTGACTTGGATAACTTTTCTATAGCTGATTTCCAAAAGAGTCTTGTTAATAGTTCAACCAGAAGTTGGTTGAAGTCATCTACTTGATTTCTTTTTCCACAAATTGGACAGAAATTTTCAAAATGTCATTTGCATCTAAAAGGTGTGAGAGCTAACTCCACCATTGCAGTTTGGAAAAATGTCCATCATTTAACTTGTACAAGAGCTGTATTATTTAGTTGTACAATTCCTATTCCAACTACTACAAAAACACAAAATGATAGTACTGACATAAACTAAAATATATTGATATACTGTATATTTAAAATATTCTTATCCACGCGTAGAAATATTATAGTCAGTTTCTAGTGGCATTCCCACCACTTAAGAACTATGAAAAGTAAGCAGTTCCAACATGTATTATCACAAATGGGGCCAGTAATCTTGCTAATGGCCTGGAGGCTCCTAACAATGATCTCCATGGTAAGTAGAAATTCCAAGAGTATGTTTAGAATTAATTCAAGGTTCCTGCTGACAAATAAATGAAGATCATTCCTTCCTAACATTCAGATATTCTACTGTTCCAAGCTGCAGAAGGACTTGGAAGCCCAGTGAAACAAAATAGGTCAGGTATGTGGCTGAGACCACAGATACTATATTTACTTTTTTAAAGTCTGGGGTGCAGCTGGGCACTATACATAGCTGCTTTTGCTCAAAGGACTAGGCTACAGCTTGTGGGCTGCTTTTCCTTTCCAAAAATGTCTACGAGTTTAATTAAACTTCTGGAATAAACCAGTTGGCAGGAGACACCACTTTATCGGCGGGCTGACTGCTTGCTTTCCAAGTAAGTTATTAGCTTTATTGCAGAACTGTAGCTGGATATCAAATGGGATTAATGTCTGTAGTAATTACTTTTTTGGCCTTTTATAATTATAAGAGGAAATACTTAAGTGGTTTTTTCCTCTACTCTTTTTTTCCCCTTTTTTTCCTTTGCATTGCAATAAACGAATGGACTACTGCATGCAAACTGTTTATAATATAAAGCAAGCAATAAGGAAATGAATACAACATGGATTTAAATGGATTTGTGTCATAGTCCTGATTGTACAAGATAAAATTTTATAAAAATGGGTTGTTTTGCAGAAACAAAAAAAATGGGGTTTGTGCAGTTTTGAAAATCTCCATATGCACTGTCTTGATGCTGAATAAATAATTTCCTGTGGGATGTGGAATGTGTAATATGTTAGCAATTGTCCTACACACTGACCTCTGAGTAAGTATATTCTGAAAAGAAAAATAAATCTGTTTGGCATGTACAGTAATGAAGGACCTCCTATGTGACTTTGTCATCTTTTTTTGCTAGGTGAAGATGGGCATTTGGGCTATTCTTTTCCTTCCACTGCTTGTGGTTGGAATTAGTGGAATCATATTCATTTATCGGAAAGTTACTCAGCTGATGACAAAGTCTGCTGTGCGAAGCAAAGTTGTAGTAATCACTGATGCTCTGTCTGGTGTGGGCAAGGGTAAGACGTGCAGCATATTCTATAGTGTGTGTGAGAGAGAGGAAGGAAGGGAGGGAGGGAAAGAGAGAGAGAGATTGCAAAAATAGGAATATCCTGAAAATTTTAGACTTCTTGATGCATCCAGGATTCTAAGAACTGCAGCATTCATTTAAACTTTAAACTACTCTGTTTATTCTTATTCATCAACAAATTTCTTCCTATAGAACACAATCTATATGTCCATTTGCTCTATCTGAAACAACTGTCTTCTAATGGTCGGTATGCATTCTGAACCTACTTTAACACCTTGGAACAAATTACATTGTCTGCATAATTCCAAATGTTGCAAGTGAAATAAATTAGAGAAAATAAATATAAACCATGTGGCATGAAGACACAAGAGGGGAGGAGAAAGGGGGACTGAATTGTGCATTGTCAGTGTAGTGACAATTGTGCAAGAAATTAGATCCTACACTTTGTTGTTTTGTTTGGAGCCAACTTTCAGAATTTCATGTCATTAAAATTATTCACATTTTGCGCAAACTGCAAACAGCAATAAAAAGCTCTTTTTATTTCGAGACTGGCATCTGCTTAATATCTCTTACGATGCAACTATTGAACCGTCTGTTAGAAAGAATAGTACTTAGATCCATGGTTAATTAGAAAAGTTCCTCCACAAACTGTCTTAGGAGAGGGGGGAAAATCTATTTTTAGTTAGCTGGCTCTGCTGTAATGGTGAGAACCATTTGCACATACTGGAGCTATGAAGTGGCAGCAATCTGATATAAATAGTTTATTTCTGTAATCCCTAAATTATGCACCAGTGGTGAGCTTTAAGATCTTGCACCAAGCAGTTGAGATACTAAGGGTTATCTTGAAGCAAAATTATTGGCAGACCTTTGACCTGAAACCCTGGTTTGGTGTATGAAGGAAAATCATAGTCACTGAAATGTCAGGGAAATGAAAAATGATCCCCCTCAGAGATATGCAGGAGGTTTGCTGCTCTGCTGCCTGTCAGGGGGTGGGGGGGAGGGAGGAGGAAACAGGGGGTGTCAGCTGAGAAATCATCAGGGTCATGTGCACCACTGGCAGACATACTAGAAGTGCATCAAGTGATAGAACAAGTCAATATTACACTTTCATCCCCAATAGTGAACTTTCCTGAACTCTTGTGTTTACTAGAGCTGAACCAGGATGGAGAGTGGAAGATCTAAGAACTCTCTTGATAAAAAGGTTGAGATCATTCCAAATTGTAGACAGCTATCCTAGTCTATTCTAGCAAATTGCTTAACTTTGTTGCCAGGTTCCCCCTATATAGTGCATCCTACAAGAAGACCGTGGTAGACTTTTATGAAAGGAAGAATCTGTTTTAAATGTTTTGTGCTTATTTTCACATAGAGAATTATAATTGTGTTGCTTAATTTTTAACCCTGTGTTGTGTAAACCCAGGAAATCAAGTTAATTCAGTAAAGTTTGAGTCACTTAATGATTTTACTCTGGGTTTTGACCAGAAAACCATTCATTCTTTCCAAGTTGCCATTTTGTCTCTCTTCCTGCTAGACAATATTTCCTTGGTTTTCCATGTGGCATTTCATGCTGCAGCTATTGTGCATGCTCTGTATATCTTAAGCAGTCGCCAACCGGTGGGCCGTGGCCCACTGGTGGGCCATGAGAAAATTTTGGTGGGCTGCAGAGAAATCTCAGCCCCAGAGCACCCCTCCAAAGCAATTAATGCAGGCTGCGCAGAAACACAAGGCTCCGCCGCCCACATGGCCCACAGGAACCCTCCCCACCCACTCAGTCCTTACCCGACAAACTTGCCGGCTAAATTGCTATTTTTCCTTTTTCCGACCATCATCTGTTCTGCTGTGCCAGGAGATTTAGATTAGCTAGGAAGTAGAAAATGGTTGGATTTCTTGCTTTCTAGCTAGTCTTTAGATCTTCGGCTCTGCTTTTAAGCACAGCCGAACCTCCCTTAGGACTGAAGGTTTGCTTGCAAGCAAATTCAGTGCAGACTCACGGCAAGCGAATTTGAGAGACTGAGCTAGCTGATGGCAAATAGATAGATCACTGAATGATTCTGTGAGCAACTCAATCTGCCTGCTTTGCCTGATTTTGGGTTAAAGTTGCTCTTTTTAAAATAAAAAATTCAATATTTAGATGCATGGTGTATTGTGAGTTAATTTTGTGAGTTTGCTTGCTAGCAAATTTTATGAGTTTGCTTGCAAGCAAATTTTATGTGACAGACTGAGCTAGCCAATGACAGATAGATAGATCTCTGAATGAATCTGTGATTCTATGAGCAACTCAATCTACCTGCTTTGCCTGATTTTGGGTAAAAGTTGCTCTTTTTTAATAAAAAATTCAATATTTATATAAATATTTATAATATTTACATACAAGCCAGTCACATGATCACCAAGCCATGCCCACAGAACCGGGTTAGTGGTCCCTGGGATCTAAAATTATGACTTTGTTGGTCCCTGAGGTCCAAAAGGTTGGTGACCCCTGTCTTAGACTATTTTTTTTGTGAGGATTTCCAGGGATGGGATTCTTTCTTTCAATCACAAGGGGTCAATCACTGCAACCATAATCAGCTGATTCTCCCTTGGGCACGCTTGTTACTGACATACATTACTGAAATGCATGGAAATGTTAGCTTCCCGGGGTTCCCAGCCTTGCCTTCCCAAAGTGGTGTGGAGAGACCTTTTCTATGGAATATACTTCCAGACATTCATTTCCAGGCTGGTAACAGAGGAAAATAAATCTTTTTCGTCACATACTTTGTGGAAGATGCCAAGTAAACAGAGAGAGAACAAAAATTCTGCTCTGGTATCTCTCTGCATTTCTATATTAAATGGGAAATATTAAATAAGTCGCTTTTTACCTCAACCAGCATAAACATGCAACAGGCTCCTGTCCTTGCTGTAGCAATGTGGCTAGATTTATAGTTAACTGAGATAAATGGATATTTACCTCCTATAGCCGCAGGCTCCTAACTAAGCAGCATATTAAGTTTGATAATTTCTGATGATTTCACTTAATTTTTTGCATATTTCTCTCAATCAAAGGATCTGCTCATTGGAAACATGACATCCTTGTGTTTTCAGAATTATAACCCAACCACAGTCGTCCTGGGTTCTAGTGGTTGCTCTCAGTGCCATGCACAAGTCTTCATAGAATCCATTTATAAGCAAAGTCAGATACAAATATGTTTGTTCAGGAAGTGCCCAGATTATACATTTGTTTAACCACCCACAAGACCAATAGTTGAAATATAAACAATTGCATCAGGGAGGAGAGTTTATATGTATGCTGATGCTGAATTTGGGAAGAATATTTATTTCTGTTGTTAAGGTTGAATGAATGAAAACAGGTATACTCTATTACAATCCCAATTAATTGAATTATCCCTTGGTTTATCTTCCAGAATGTGCACAAGTATTTCATGCAGGAGGAGCAAGATTGATTTTGTGTGGGAAACACCTGGATAAATTAGAAGCTCTCTGTGATGCTTTAAATAGTGCCGCTGATCCTACTGCAGTAAGACTCTTGTATATCCTTCTAGACTTATATAAAGGCAACAAAAGACACTGGATCTAGAATGATCAAGCAACTTTTTCAGGGCTTCTGAATCAGACATTTCTTCCCAACAAATTGATTACTCACAGAGCCAATCCTACAATTAGGTAGAAGAAGGAGTGAGGTTTCTTTACCTGCTTTTACCTTACTTGAACAAATATGGGTGACACACTGTCTCTTTTGCCTTCCTTAAAATTGCTTATTGGTCTTAAATGCAAGGGACAAAAATATTGCCCCATTGCCATTATTGAACTAAAAGTCACTTGCTACTCAAGCTCAGGAAAGCAAATGTTTTTTCCCCACTTCTACTATAAAGGAACTTGAGGGATCAGCCTAAATTTAAGAAAGTAGATGCAAGTAAAAAAAAAAAAAAGTGGTTGATGAAATTATAAGACAAAAGAAAACACATAAAAGATTATTATATTCCAGCCTTCCCCAGTCTGAAAACTTCCAGAAGATTTAAATTATTATTTCCACCATCTCCACCTGTGGCAAACTTAGTTTTGGAAATTGTTGGAATGCTGAAGAAGGTAGTTAAGGATGAATTTTCTGTCCTATGAACATAGGCAAATTATGAAATCTAATTATGTTTCTTTAGTACAGTACGCTCATAAAGTAAGAGATGGATCTTGTGTTATTTATTTATTCACTTGTTTATTTATTCATTAAACTTATATGTCACTGATCTTGCCAAAGAGGCTCTAGGCAGCTTGCAATTCAATGATAGCATTTAAGCAAAGCACGTATAGTCATGATACCACAAAGCATAATTTTGCCTGCTTGCTGGAGAAGCACTTGTCTCAGCTTGCTAGAAATGCACTTGTCTGAAGATAGTAGCAACCTAATAAAATTCACATGTAAATAAATAAAATATCTAATCTTTAATTTTGTTCGTGTATCATAAAAGGATACAATAGGAAGACACATCATGTTATTAAAAAACCCTAGAACAAGCATATCTTTCAACTGAATAACTCTTAGAGGTTAAAGGATGGCAATAGACCATAGGCTGTAATATACAGTTTCAGAAAAATATAATTAGTCTTCAGTATTTCAAACAGTATTCAGGGCATACAGTGTAAATATTGCAATATTTTTAGTATTAGATCAAAGCTAACTTATTTTGCAAGGCAATTTAAAATTAGTTTTATTATCTCTCTTTGCAATTGTATAATTTTGTTACCTCACAGTATTGTCTTATATAATGATCACACTTTTTATTGGATGTTACTGGAAAATATCAAAATTAAGGTCAGTCTAATTTGTTTGTTTTTAAATGATGAATGAAGGATGCTGCCTTATAATAAAGATCTAATGTACATGATCCACATATTTTTTTCCGTACAAATAATCACAACCAGTTATTTCCAAATTTAAGGCCAGACAATTATATAAACTGACAAATAGGTGATCCTGGATTTAAACAACAAGAGTACTTCCAAATATTTAAAACTAATACCTTTTTCCTTAAGGAACTGTTACAATTTATACTTTTAATACATTAATTCTACTTCATCTTTGGATCTGATTTCCTTCTACATAGTCATGGTCATCTGATAAATCCCATTTTCTTTACTGTAAGCCATATGACTGGGAATTTTGGGAGCAGAAGATCCAAAAATAAGCAAGTCACCAAATTGGGGAAAATGCTTTATTGTCTCTAGGAATTATCTCTCTCTTTTGTGTTGTTAAATATTATGCTTCAAAAAGTACTGGGATATCTCTGTTTTATAATACAGTAACCCTCAAACCTTCCTTCTTTTGTAGACATTTACACCGAAGCTTATCCTTTTAGATCTTTCTGATGTAAGATGTATCCAAGATGTAGCCAAAGAAATCCTGGATTGTTATGGATGTGTGGATATTCTCATTAATAACGCTAGCATAAAAGCCAAGGGGACAGTTCAAAACGTCTCACTGGAACTCGACAAAAAGATCATGGATGCCAACTACTTTGGACCTATAACCCTCACCAAAGGTATACAGAAGACTGCCTCTCTGTGTCTTAGGGATACAGCTAGTCCTTGACTTACCACCATAATTGAACCCAAAATTTCTGTTGCTAAGTGAGACAGTTGTTAAGTGAATTTTGATCTGATTTATGACCTTTCCACAGTTGTTAAGTGAATCATTGCAGTTGTTAAGTTAGTAACACGATTGTTAAATGAATCTGGCTTCCTAGTCAACTTTGCTTGTCAGAAGGTCATAGAAGGTGATCACATGACCCTGGGACACTGCAACCATCATAAATAAGAGTTGCCGAACTGAATTTTGATCATGTGACCATGGGAAAGCTGCAAGTATTGTAAGTGTGAAAAATGGTCACAAATTGCTTTTTTCAATGCTGTTGTAACTTTGAACAATCACTAAATGAACTGTTGTAAATCAAGGACTACCCATACTATATATTTGCTCTTGAAAGGAAGGAATCCTTGGTAATTTTATGTACATAGATACAACAAACTACCTCAATTTTACTTCAGTTTAACTGTCATGCCTTTCCCCAGATAATCTCCAGGATATAGAGCTCCACCCAAATCTAATTGCCTAAGGCTCTCTGGAGGAAATAAAACATATCTGTAGGGTAATATGCTTTAATTTCTGATAGCTGTTTCAACTCTTACTAGACTTGACTCAGCGGCGTGTAACTACTTCAAACACCTCTAGTTACTGTAATGTATCATTTCACATGGAAAAGTGGAGGATGGAGAGAGAATTGAAAGTGGTTAAATAAAGAAAAATGAGGCAGTAACTTTAGCAGCTTGTGCTTACATCTGCATTGATTGCAAACTCGGGTGCACTGTGGAATTATTCCAAAGACTTGAGTTTGATGAGAGCTTTATTAATGAAGGGGATTTGGCATAATATTGCTTGCTGGTAAAGCATTTTCCCCTAATAGTACATATATCTAATGACTGGATTGCTGGGCTCAACCTTACTGCAGGTGTTTACTGTAGCGGGTTAGATGCCACTGAGTCAGCCCTGACCCCTGGGGACTGTATGGAAAAATATCTGTCATCTTAACCTTTCTCTGGTGATAACTTCAGCTGCTTTGGTCTTTGACTATAAAATAAATCCAATCCATTCAACAAGTCGTTCAATTGTTGACTGATTGATAACCCACAGCTCTTCCACAGACCTTCCAATTCTAATATTAGCCATCTCTGGGAAAGTATTAGTTACAATAAAAAGGAACATACAAAGGGGCTTATGTGGCCCAAAATGGCAGTCATTTTTAAGTAGAGCAGCATTAGCCTCTGTCCTAGGCATTCACAGAGTTTTGCAGGGAATGTCACGCCATGTGTACATTCAGAGACTGCTTTGTGCTGCAGAAGCCAAATAACATGTGGTTCTGACTCCACTGGAGGTGTCTGCATCCAGCTAACCAAACAAAGTTCCCCTTCCTTCAAGAAAGACTCCACTCTACACTTTGGGGAGTGGGAAGAATCCATAAGATCAAGCTTACACGTTTTGGTTAAATGTAACAAGAATGTCTGAATACAGCAGTTCAAAAGCTGGGATTCATTCTGGGTGCTCTTTGTGGTAATTCCTCATCCCATAATTACATTGAGCACATTTGCACCTTGCCCAATATTAGTCTATTTGCCACATGCCTCAGATATTTATGTGCTATTATGAACTAATCTCTGCAGCAAGAGTCTGACTCTTGGGAACTTTGGAGTCCGAGGGGAGGTTAATCATATCTCCTGGGTTTGCTCATTAATTTTTCACTAACAATTCTCTGTGGATGATTTCATTACAGCTTTACGTCCTACTTCTGAAGTCCTCAAAATGGTTTGAAATGAATACTAACTGTAGACCCCAAAAATAATTACGATCCATGTTTTTGTGAAAAAGTAACTTACTGTCATGCCCTTGGTAGAGACTGACTCTGAGGGAGAGGAGGAACAGCCGACAGGGAGTGGAGGTGTGGCTCCCGAGGTTGTGGAGGAGGCTGGGGAAGGGCAGAGGCTGGCTGAGCAGTCAGAGGTCCATCCCCTATCCATCCTAGGGCACGCAGGGAGGAGAGGATAAGGGAGAAATGTGGTCTACTCAGGAGCAGAGGGCCTTGATCCTCTTCATGGGCTGCAGCTGTAACAACTGAATAGGAGTATGGACATGCGTACTGGCAAACACTGGAAACAAAGCGTGTAAATATCTCTAGTTTATAATTCCTCTCTGAGTTTGGTGTCCTTCCCAGTGTGTGTTATCTGAAGACATCCTCCAGCCCTTATCTTGCCTGGTTTGTGTTGCTTTTTTCCTTCTTCGTGTAACTGTTTGTGTGGAAGTTTTTTTGTCTTCCATCAAATATATTCAGAGCTTGGAAGCAAAGTGAAGGAATAAAAGGGGCTTCATCTGTTTTCTGTGACTGTGTTTGTTTTGTATCCCACCCTGGGTCATCACACTTAAATGTGTGGTACAGTCAAGAATATAGAGATGTGATTTATCCGGGAAAAATAAAAGAGTGAGGAAATATATAAACTCATCCATTAGCTGTTGGACACCGTACAGTATCACTCACCTTTTAAAGGCTGTTAGTTCTCAGGTTACAGTACATCCTGGCTGTTTCAGATTGCATCTTGCCTGCATGTCCTGTCAGATTAATAATGTGCTTCCAGATCACATGGATCTGACTCAAATTTAGATCATAGTACATTTCCAAAGGTTTGCTGTTCAATTTTTAATATATTCACACAATGTTATTGAGTGTCCAGTCCTCCATCTGCAACCTTGTATTTCCTCTACTGCATCTTCGTCTTTCTTCCCACTATAGAAAATCTGTTAAAAAGGTAAATGCAAGATAAATGCATTTTTTTAAAAAAATTACTAGTGATATGAATCCTCCATCTGGAAGTATCCCAAACTCCTAAGTAGCAATTATAGCATGTAGGAATCTCATTCTAAAATGAGAAATGATATGGATTTTCCATGCAAAGGTTATGTCTTATGTCTGTCTCAGGACACAATCTCATCAGTTGAAAGGTGCTAGTTGGCAACTACTGCTAGTGCACAGAAAGGAAGAAAAACTTCTACCAGGTTTGCAGTCTTTGGAAGACAGTCCCTTCCTACTTCCTGTAGTTCTGCATTGTGTAGACAGTGCACCTTGCCTTTCAGCAATAATTAGTTGAAAGGGTCTGTGATTGGCAATTGACAAAAAGAATGCAAAGGAGAAATGGACTGGATTAGCATGCAGTGGGAATTGTTTGCAAGCTGAATGGTCTATGGCGGGGGGTCAAATTCATGGCCCATGGGCCAGATGCATCACATGCTGACCCTGCCCCCATCCCCACCCGGTTTAGCAAAGGGGAAAAAAGTCCCGATACATCCCCACCATGAGGGTGTGAGTTTGACACCCCTGGTCTATGGCATGGCCAAGCTCATTGTTTTAAACTAAAGGATGGATATATGGTTGGTTGTATAATTATTTACTACTTGTAAAAGAAAATATGGGGGGGGGGGACTTAACTGCAAGTAGCACGAAACCCCCAGAGTCACCTTATGGAGGAGATGGGTTACCTAAAAAATTAATAAATGATAATAAAAATAAAATAAAATGATAAAACCATGCTCAGTAATAAATTAATGCTAAAAAAATAATAGTTTAGAAAGGGACAGCATGCTTTGTATGCATTAAATGCATGCATTTTTAATACAGTTTTTTTTTTTTTTTTACAAGACCATTCTTGGAAGTGGATGGCCTTTGCTCAAACGTCATAATCTCCAAATTCTCCATTTTGATTTACTCAAAAGATATCAAAAGATATCGTAAGCCAAGATATAAAACAAATTGTACAGTAAAGCCACTGCTTGAATTAATTTGTAAGCAGGCTTGTTCATGACATTCAACTTTGCAGGAGACATGAATCATCCTAATAATGATTGACAAAAATATTGTGCAAGGAAAAAATAATCTTCCTGAGGGGGAAGCAATTACTGCTACTAAAAAAACAATTAAAAATACAGACTTTTGATGTTGCTGTGATTAGACACTAATCTATTTACAAAAAAAAAAAAAAAAGACAGAAGCAAAGATAGAAATTGTCATTTTTTAAAAACAATTTTGCTGTTGTTTAGTTGCTAAATATTTTAAAAATGCACATAAATGAATTCCATCGTTGTTATCTGGATAGCTAATGGCAGGGTGAATATGAAGTAAGCCAGCTCTGCAAGATAGCCTAGCCTTATTATGCCAAACTTTCAGGCAGGGGTAAATGGTATATTACTTCCTACAGCAGTGTTTCTCAATTCTCTTGCCAACTGGGGAATTCTGGGTGTTGAAGTCCACACGTCTTCAAGCTGCCATGGTTGAGAAACACTGTCTTACAGAGTTATCCAGGACTGTTATTCAGGTGTCTGCCATACTATTTTGTTTTAAGGGAAATGTAATGGAACACTTTAAATTAATTGTAGTATAAAGCAAAGACTCCCTCACGTTGAGCTCTGGTAACCACATGGCCATATCCATGTAATTTTCAGAGCCTTGATATGGAAAATAATTTGCCATTGACTTGTTCTGTTTTTATGATTTATTTCTCAAACTAGCCTATAGCCATAGAATTTTCTAATAGTTCCCCATCCAGGTATGGCTCAGGTCCAAGCCCATTTATGTTTCTGATGGTTGCATACTAGACTGCAACAATGTAATTGACTAAGAACTGGAGAAATTGTTAGGGTAGAAAATGTCAGTATTTAACAAGGCTGCAGATTTTCTTTTCCAACCTCTTGGAATGGGGGATTTTCTCCCTTTGAGGAAATCTGAGTGTTGAGTAGTTTTGTTAAAGATGTGGCTGCAGGGGTGAAATTCAGTCACTTCAGCCTGGTTGAGGAGAGGTGGTAGGAACAATTTGAATCAGTAAAGAATCACCCCTGGTTGCTATTACCAAGCCACGCCCACAGCCACACCCACAGAGTCAGAAGGAAAAAAAATTGAATTTTACCTCTGCTTAATATCTTGCCTCATATGTCCAGTAGATACCTCATAAAGATCACTACTGGACATATTCAATCTCTTGTGGGTCACCTAAGAAGAAATTGGATTAATTGATATTGCATTGATGAAAGCAACCAAGGAAATTATTTAATTCTTCATCAGATTTATGCCTTCCCTTCCCTTCCCTTCCCTTCCCCCATGACATTCAAGGGAATTAGAAATTACTTAACTGCTTTTTAATTTATCAGAAACATTTTTACCTTATCTGCATTGATCAGCAATGCATTTTTATTCATCCCAGGCACAATATCAATTTCTTTTTTAGTATCTGAAATGTTTTTTCAGCTTTCAGTTCCTGAGGAATCTAGCTACAGGTAGGGAAAAAACTGTGTGAAACCTGTGTTTACCACTGAAAAATGCATATACAGCAAACAAAAAAGTTGCATGGTTTCTATATAGTATAGTGTAAATTGATATACTGTGATCTTTTCATTTGCTATTAGTTTAGTGGATAAGGAAGTAGTACTTTCATTTCTGTTAATCTGAAAAGATTTTCTCTCATATTTTGCTCTCCAGCTTTTCTTCCCAACATGATCTCCAGGAGAACTGGTCAAATTGTGCTAGTCAACAATATCCAGGGGAAATTGGGTGTTCCCTTTCGTACAGCCTGTAAGTTTATGAATCTAACTCATTATTTCTTTTTAATTTCTGGGTAATTAGAGCAGTATGAAGCTTGAGGTCTTCCAATTAGAGTCCAAAACTACTGGAGAATCTTAAATATTTTTAAGTTTCTCTGAATCTAGCTATTATTAAGAGAAAGACAAAGAACTTTAGTTTCACCAAGTAAGAATAGCCTTCAATTCTACCACATGCTATCTTCAGTGGTCTTCCATATTTGCCAGAAGATACGGATGGACTTGATCAACTGAATCCATGTATTCCTCCATGTTATTACAGACAATGCCACTTAACAATCTTTTCAGTCATCTAGGTACTCCATTTGGATATAGGCAAACACACAATTTGTCTGATTTTGATTAAATGTATAAACTATAATCTAGAGTATGGTGCAAACTCACACCATTGTGGCTTACTCAGTGAATCATGATTATGCACATCATAATGCCGCATGATGTATCAACATTGTTATTAACTTCTACTCTAGCTCCTGTCTTTTAAGAAATTATGAAACTGGTAACTCCTGTGATTGTGTAGGTTATCTGATTGGTGGAAGGTTTTTTTGTTTTTGTCTTTTTGCTAAAATGAGACATGAGATAATGAATAGTTTAAGGAGCTATCCAGAAGTCAAGCTATACAAAATGTGCTTCTCACACCAATGAATCCAATTTTGCAAAAAGCTGGCAAATGTCTTACTTAATACAAATCAAGGTAAGGGAATAGATTCCCTTGGTTTTATATTCCATCCCACCAAATGTCACTGTCTGATGGGAAAAAGAATCATCCTTCTTAATATGGGATAGAATAAATTATTGTAAGCAGATGCTCAGAATGGCAGGTTTAGCCACCTGTCAAATTATCCAAGTGATAGACTCTGGGAAGAGCGTGGAGAGATTAGATGAAGCTCCTGGTAAGAACAGCTCCTCCTCCAAACCTCAGAACCATCAGATGAGGAACCAAGAAGACCAATATTGAGTGTATGGCTGACAGCCCCAAAGAAGGAGCCAATGAGATATTGTAATTGGCCAGTACATAACAACAGTCATCACTCTGACATCTAGCTTTGTCCAAATAGAATGGAACAGAAAAATGCCATCACACTCCCCTCAGGTATTACAAGTAACAATGGTGAATGCACGAACACTGCAAATACAATTGAATAATACTGGTTCTAGAGACACTGAATGGTCAGATGATAGTCCTAGCAGTTGTGTGTAGGGCCTCAGGAATAAAAGTAGCAAATATAGTAAAAAAAACAAACAAACATGTGAGCTAGCAAGATGACAGAAGCCTGTCTGTAACCTGCTTTATATTGACTTGGGCTAGCACTTTTTTAGAGCATTGTTTCTGTACTCCAAGAGACAGGCTGAGCATTCTTTCAGGAAGTGCTAAACCTGTGTTGTAAGGAGCCAGCATAAGACCTGACAAGTGCTTCAGCAAGCATTGGTTCAGCTTTATGGAAATGTTTTATGGAAGACAGGCTTCTAGCCTCTTCAGCAGCATAAGCCAAAAGGGACATGGAGGGTGTTGTTGTTAGTTGCAAAGTTGTGTCCAACCTATCGCAACCCCCTGGACAATGTTCCTCCAGGCCTTCCTGTCCTCTATCATCTCCTGGAGTCCATTTAAGTTCATGCTTACTGCTTCACTGACTCCATCCAGCCACCTCATTGTCTGCTTTCCCCTTCTTCTATTACCCTCAATCTTTCCCAGCATTAGGCTCTTCTCCAGTGAGTCCTTCCTTCTCATTAGGTGGCCAAAATACTTGAGTTTCCTCTTCAGGATCTGGCCTTCTAAAGAGCAGTCAAGGTTGATCTCCTTTAGGACTGACTGGTTTGATCGCCTTGCAGTCCAAGGGACTCGCAGGGGTTTTCTCCAGCACCATAGTTCAGAGGCCTCAATTCTTTGGCGCTCTTTTCTTAGCATAGGTAATCAGACCAGCGAATGTGGATGGAGAGATGGATGGATGGATGGATGGGTATTTGGTATATTACAATATGATAGTATGTTTCTTGCATGAATATCTCCCTTTCTCCTAGATTCTGCTTCGAAGCATGCTGCTGTAGGATTCTTTGATTGCCTGAGAGCAGAACTGCAGGAATTGGGTGTTTGTGTCAGTACGGTGTCTCCAAGTTTTATATGTTCTGATCATAATCAGCTGAAGCCTAAGAACTGGGAAGGTACCTCATGGAAAAGTAAGTCATTCACACAGGGATGGGCACCAGAACACAAGCAGAATTAAAAGATAAAAATACCCAAGGTGACAAAGATGATTTAAGCAAATAGTTTGCTGACAAAATTCAAATCACAATAGAGACAAAGACTTACAATACATTCCCTCTAAAGCAGGGTTGTCAAACTCACATCGTCATGGCGTCATCACATGACGGATCTGGACTTTTTCCCCCTTCACTAAACTGGGCAGGGACGGGGCCTACAAGTTTGACACTGCTGCTCTAAAGAATCTACTATCATCAAGCTTTGATATTTCAGAACCATGAGTGATGTTTGTAGCTGGAATATAAGGCAGTCCATTAACTAGAAGCTTAAATTTTTGCTTTCAAAAGTAGGGAATGCTAGTGTTAACTCTTGGCATTCATACAATTTTTCTCTGTCCAATTAATAAATATGGGCAAACAAGTTGTAAAATACTTAGAAAAGACATTACTGCTTGTTCCCAGCACAGAAAATAATACATTGGCCATGAACCACTACGGCATCATAAGTATCAAAAAGTGAATGTGTCTGATATACTTGTGATAAATAATGAAATTCCCTTCCTAACATGGCCACTGTCCTTTTAAAGAAAAAAACAATTGTTTTTTTCTGCCTTTAAAATGTAGAGGGAGAATACATCCCTCATGTTGACATACTGGAGCAGTTTTTTAACATTTTTTAAAAGTTTTGAGTCTTCTTTTTATTGTGTAGTCTACTAAAAGCAATAAACATTAACCTGTCTGCCTATTCTCCTGGAACAATATTTCACCATTTTAAGATTCCTTCCAGAATTTTTATTTATTCTTTTTCTTTGATATAGTATCTTTCCTTCATTCCTCTAAATTTCTTTCCTTCCCTGTCCCCACAATAAGCTTCATATTGTCTTTGAAATAAGACAAGACCATGACACATAGCAGCCAGTTATCCCTTTTAATACTTTGTTGTTTGCCCAATTCCCAGACTTCTTCAGAAAGTTGGCTCATGGTGTCCACCCAGCAGAGGTAGCAGAAGAAATTCTACGGACAGTGAACAGGAAGAAGCAGGAAGTGTTCATGGCAAACCCCATTGCAAAGGCAGCTGTTTATATTCGCACTTTCCTCCCAGAGATATTTTTTGCTGTGGTTGCTGCTGGAGTGAAAGAAAAACAGAAAATTGAAGTTGAAAACTGATTGCATCAAGTTCATCTCCCTTGGTAGAAGGGCTATGCTAATTCTCTCTGGCAAAGGCTAGAGATAGGCATCTTGGAAGAATGTTGTATAAATCCAAATGAAACCAAAAACCAAAAACCAAAGTTGCATTTAAGGGTATGGAGGCAGTGGAATAGGATATGGCCTTTTCATCTATCATTAAAGGTGCACTGATGGGCTACGAAAGAGAGCAAAGGAAATTTTTTTCAGGGTGCCAAGTGAGTTATTTGAAGTGAGGCCACTAGTTTCCTGGACAATTTGCTATTTCAAGAGAGTTAATAGAAAGCATGAACTGTCTGTGTGTTGGGTGACATGTTCAGAGTAGGTGTGAAGGTCAAGAGAATTGTAAACTAATATTTGAAAAATGAGGAATTTCAGGAATCGGGGAGAATATGAGTGATGGATGTGTGGAAAAGAAATAAGAGAATGTAAGAAGAGTCTGAGGTTCTGGTTTCACACCAGGTTGCATGGATCTTAGAAAGCTGGTTTGATATTTAGGAAATTCTCACAGGAGATCAGAAAAAGGTCTCATAGCCTTTTGCCTTTTTGTGTGATTAATTGAACCTTTCAAATCTGCAGTAATACTTGGTTTTTATAGCTTTTAGTTCTAAAAAAATTAAGCAAATGCCTGGAGTGGGGATGAAACATTCCACGTTTCAAAATGTTGCATTGCTTTCATTCCACATGGGTAAAGATGTCCAGTTTGGGGCAACTGCATAACTTTTTCAAAATAAAAATAAAAATACATGTCTTCAAGATAGTAGTGGGGAGTATATGATAAAATACGTATCATGATGTTACACATCATCATGGTTTACCTGCTGGTGTCAGGTAAGACACCGGAACACAAATGTATAAGAACAGATGATGCATCCTAAGGTCAGCACGAGTGTATTGCAGCAGTGGGATTCTACCTGCTCCACTACTGGTTCAATGATCATGCGTGCGCACGTGCACCTAGCATGCGCTCAGCTTTCCCCATACCAGCTGAGGCCTGCAGGGCCAATCAGCCGAGAGGATAAAGAAGAGAAAAATGCAGGGGCAGGTGGGAAGGCCAATCCTGTGCTTTTGTTTTTCTCTTCGTTCTCCTCTCAGCTGATCGTGGGAGGCTTTTTTTTTTTTTTTTAAGTACCGGTCCAAACCGGTAGCATACCACCACTGGTGTGTTGTCATTTTTACACAACCCTAACTTGTTGCGGACAAAGCAACAAACCACCACTGGTAGGTTCATGTCTTGGATGAATATTGGCATTGATCTTTTCACACTGCCTCCTTTTCCCTGTGCAATGCTACAGGTTCACAGAAATCTGAAAATGTAAAGACATTACAGCTCTAAACACAAAAGTATCTTTTACCTTAACATTTGTATCTTTGCTGTGCCATTATAGTAATAGTACAAAGGCAGCAGCGTATTTATCTCAGAAAACTACTCCACCTTAAATTTGGAATTAGGGACAGGCATCGCAAATTCCAAGTCTTGTCTAATGTTTCAAGCTAGAATAGATTGTGAGTGGATATTCTGATGAGGCTAGTTATAAATGCAGTAAACTGCTAAGCCTCCAACACCTATATTCATTGGTTATGGCTATGAGGTGGTATGAACTTTTATCGATCAAATGATCAAGCTATGCAGTTTCTTGGGATTTAAATTATCAAATGATATTTGTTGTGATGCACCTTCAGTTAGGCCCCCACACCTGGACTGCAAAAAAAAAGGGGGGGAAAGGAAAGGAAAGGAAGGGAAGGGAAGGGAAGGGAAAGGAAAGGAAAGGAAAGGAAAGGAAAGGAAAGGAAAGGAAAGGAAAGGAAAGGAAAGGAAAGGAAAGG